TATAAATATTTTTTTAATGCTCTCTTGAAACTTTTAATGTCACATGCCAATACTTTAATATTATCTGGAAGATGATTATAAATCTTGACACCTGCATAAGCAGGACTTTTATGAAACATTGTTAGACGAGTCGTTTGTTGGAAAAAATTGGAATTATTCCTAGTATTGAAACTATGAAGCTCAGAATTTTGTCTGAACCAAGTTTTATTTGCAATCACAAACAGAGCCAAGGAGAATATGTACTGTGAGGCCAGAGGTAATATATTTAATATTTTAAAGAATTTTCTGCAGGAATCCCTAGGTCTTGCCTTCATTAGTATTCTAACCATTCGCTTTTGAAGTTTCAAAATAATTGAGCTATGTGAAGAGTAGTTACTATAGGTTACTATAGAACGTCTTCTAGAAAAATCTAAACTAGCCCAACATGCCTATGAAGAGGGACATAGGGTAGGCTGGGATGAAGCTAAGATTTTGGATATTGAAAGCCACATCAGGTATAGGAAATACAAGGAAGCGGCCCATATGGCATGCTCGGCCAACCCAATTAGCCAACCCAGTTTGGACTTTTCTCCCATTTGGATCCCCATTATCAGCAATGAAGTCACCAATTCACATAGACGATCTGTATGACGTGATATATGCTTTTATTCATTTCTGTTAAGTTCTAAATTAGATAGACGTCATTTACTCCATTGTTGACGCTAGTTAGACGCTATTAGTTTTTGTTACTAGTTCTTCTTTCTATTCCATGTTGTGGGGTCATGGACCTGGTTATGAGTTTGGTTTCGTGGCATAAATTTCTACAGATCTATCTATCCTGGTTCCACACTTGTATGTGTTTGCAACAATTTGTTATGAATATTTTTCTTATTAGCTCTCATGGACTTAGCCTGGTCTCAGGTATTTATAATCTTCATGTTCTGTGACACTGGTTTGTCCGGTGATTGAGGCTAGCTCTTTCTAACGGACCCAACAGAATAGGTGTTTTCCTTCACCTGAGGACAGAAACAGATCCAGTTTCAGTGTTTTTGTTTGTTATCTTAAAAACCAGGACGATGGATAAAGTCCAAAAACATAATATATCACTATGTGAAGAGGTTCCCCAAAAAATCAATCTATATGACATAACTAAATGAAAGTACAGGTGATAAATCATCTTAAGGGAGTTCAATGATACAAAAGGTCTAATTACTCTTGCACCATAACAAGCTTTAGTGAGTTTAACAGCCAAAGTTTCAATATGAGACTTCCAAGACATATTATTATGTAATACCAACCCCAAAAACTTTAATTCAGTAGTATAGGGAATAATTTTATTGTTGTATGTGACTTGAGTTTCAAAGTTGTTTGCATGTTTAAGGCTGAATTTCATACAGTAAGTTTTATCCACATTTAACAAGAGTAAATTTGTCTTAAACCACTTTGCCACACTATTAAAGACTGATTTCAGGTTACTGTCCAGTACTGTATTGTTCGGATTACTGACGATTACACTAATATCGTTGGCAAATAAAATTGTTTGGGGATTTGCATTGGCGTTCATATATTTAATAAATATGGGTAGGTCATTAATGAGTAATATTATCAGCAACGTTTAAAAAATAATTATTAAAATTACTTGAGTTGATTTGGACTGTATTGCAGATTTTACCCTTTGAACAATCTTTACCCAGTTCTGCCCTTATAATGTTCCAAGTGGTTTTGGCAACATTATTAGAGTTGGTAATTTTGTCCTCATTGCTAAGTCTTTTTGCCTCATTTATTACCTTAGTTAAAATCTTGCAGTATGATTTATAATACTGCTTTAGATTTTCATTGTCATGAAATTTTGCCAAAAGATATAATTCTCTTTTCCTTCTGCAGGAAGTTTTTATTCCAGTGGTTAACCATTGTTTGGAGGAAAAATGTTCGTAAATTTTCTTTTTGGGAAAACAAGCATTAAATATTTGCAAATATACATCTACAAAATTATTAAACACACTATCTATATTATTGTCCTCAGCATTAAATACGGTTTCCCAAGTCTCAAAACTTATACTTAGTTTGAAATCATCTAGTGAACAGTTGTTAAATGTCTGGATAATTTTGAAATTAAGGTTTGTACTTTCCCTACTGATCTCTTTTTGATGTACAAACAAACGTTGCCCATCATGATCAGATAGACCATTAAATACTGGAGAGATCAAATAGTTTTCAAACTTAGTTATATCTATAAAGATATTATCAATCAATTTTTGAGTAGTGGTGCAAGTCCTGGTTGGAAAGTAAACCACGCTACTTAAGTTAAAAGACTGCAGTATGTAGTTTAATTGTTGCTTCATTTTATTATCTTCTAAATAATTTATATTAAAGTCACCACAGACTATCATTAATAAATTCGATTTATAAATTTTGTTGATGACAGCTTCTAACCGGGTAATGAATAATGAAAAATTACTAGATGGGGACCTATAAAAGGCTAGAATACAGAATGTACTAGATAAAAATTTACATTTAACAGCGCACACCTCCATGGCTTTGTCTATACATAGTTCATTAATGCTGACAGGTTCATAATCCAGAGAGTTGTGTAAATATATACATACACCTCCCTTAATAAAAGACTTTCTACAATAACTAGTTCCTAAGTTGTAATTGGCTATGGTCACATTTTCAATTTGTGAATAATTTAGATGATGTTCTATGAAACAAAGCACTTGCAGAAGTTCAGGATATAGACGGGCATAAATTTCACTAGTCATATTTGCAAGGCCAGAAATGTTTTGGTGATAAATTGAGAAGCCATTTTTCTTTAAGACTTCAGTATGGTTGTTACACTGTTTTTCTTCTACCATAAAAAATCATCATATGTATCTAGTGGAAATTTTCTTTGCCTATTTGATTTACGTTGTGGCACAAGAGTTTGCGGTTTACTTATTTCTAACATAACATTATCAACAGTACAATCTTTTATGCCAAAAAAATTCTTAATCTCATTATCATGGTCATTATTGATTGCCTTCCAAGGCAAATAGATTGGTTTTGCATCTCTGTAAAAGATTTGAGTACAAATTAAGGCAGTACTCCTAACCAGTACGTTATTCCCCATTTTATTAAGATAGAGTCTGTGCCTTGTAAAGAGAGCTCTATTTAAATCATGATGTAATAAAGTAACATGCTTAAAACCTTTGGTACATTTCACTAATTTCCTATAAAAGACTTTTATCTCATCATTCACGCATGACCAATTTTCCAGGTCGTACCTATGTTGAATATTCAACAGAACAATATTTGTATGAGAATTGGTTTTGATAAAATTCAATATATTTCTTAATGTTTCTCTGGAATAATTTTTTCCTATTTCTTTAGTTCCACCTGAAAAAACTATTACATCATTAAGTGTCAAGGATTCAACCATAGACTCTGCCGTGGTAGATAAGTTACTTATGTCAGCTCCTGGCTTGACAAATCCTATTACTCTGGACGTTTTAGTTAAGTTGTCTTTGATCTTATCTACACAGTCTCTAATATGGCTATCACCAATGAATAAAATTAAATGTTTAGTCTTATCAACTAAAAGATTCTGCTCTAGACTTGCGTTTTTGTTTGAAATTTGCATGTCAGTATCACTGTCACCACTTTTAATTGCAGACCAATCGTTTTCTGAAAACGTTGAATAAGTATTACAAGGGACACAACCATTCACTATCACAGGGATATGAAATTCTGGCAACAGGTTTTCTGCTTTCTTGTATCTACTAGTCCTTGATGAAATAGGTTCCTTTGCAGTTGAATCTTGGTTCGTTGCATTAGATTTGTGACTTCTCATCTTACTCTTCTCGATTTGCCTAGGCTGATCCTTTTCTAGGTTATGTAAGACTCCAAAACTATTTGTAGTTCTTATCGTTGTTTCTGTAATTTTACTGGCGCTAACAGAATCCATCTCTTGTGAATGCACAGGTATATGCGTCCAATTTTCAGTACTTAGCGATAGTTGGAAAACTTGTTCATGGCTACGTGCATTTGTGACTAATCTATCCATTAATACATCAGTTTTTTGGTCTTCCTTCAGGATTTCAATAACTTTCATTGCTGATTTTAATTCAGAAATAACTTTCATTAACTCAATTTTATATTTAATGCAACCTTCACATTTAAAATCACATTCCTCTTTAGTCAAATCCACAAAATCCTCCACAGACTTATTACTAGCCATTGTTGCATCTGCCATGAATTGCAAAAAACATCTTCATTTACTTAGTAGGGACAGTAATGATGTCAACTTAAAAAAGTACTATAAACAATACTGCAGAATATTATCAAGAGTGATTAAACAGGCTAAAAGGTCAGTGTAAAATAATCAGGTAACTAACTCTGCTAATAAAATGAAAACAACTTGGAATATTATAAAATTAGAAACAAATTGACTAAAGGGACATACAGTTGGTAAATATCAAAATTCTTTTGAAGCTTTTAGTAAATATTTTCTATCAAGAGCTGGAAAAATTATTCAGGACATTAGATGTAGCAACATAAAAGGTTCCAGTAATAACAAAAGCCCAAAATTTTACTGAATTATGTATAATTGTTGTTTCTTTTATGAATGTAGTTGTAAGGTGATTAGTTCTGTATTTAGAACTAATGTATGCATATGTCATATGATAATATATAAGCATTCAGTTTTCACCTCACAGGAAACATATTACATTTCTCTCCTACAAAGATCAACTGGTTAGTGCTGTTTAGAGAAACAGAAGCACACAAATAAACTTTCTGGACAGGACAGAGAGTTTTAGTATGTTAAAGCAGGTGGTGCTTGTAGTAATCACTAGAATTTAAATGGTTAATTTGACAGATTTTCTGATGTGGTGGATCAGTCATAAGCATAAATGTATCTTCTGCAAAGTTCGTAACAAGGAAGTAATTTGAAATTGTAAAACAATTTTTGTGCATATGCTTGAAAATGGGGATTATTTCATCAGTTAGTGGTGTGTTTAATAGTGAAATTTCTGTATCACTAGTGATCTGCAGATTTTTCACCCAAATTTGCCAAGTTTGCGTACTCTTCTGTCGGGCATATCTCTGCCCAAGACTGATGAGGAGGGAGGTGAAATTATTGTTGCTGTGGCAGCTCCTCCCCCTGCAGCTGATCCATCACCTGTCTGGACTCCCAGGCTGGCTTCTCTCAGTAAGATGCAAGGAGATGGTAAGATTTTAATTATCACATCAGGCTAGTCTGTTGTAATAAACTGTCATATTATTAAGCTAAACCTATCCCTTTCTTCACTGGTAGAGCACATATTCAAACCTCCCAAGGTAACTGCCTTGCTATGGGTTTTTTTTTCATTTTCTTTAGTCCTGTACAGCAGTGTCCAAAAGAATACCTTAGGTATTTGTGGTGGACAAAGTGGCACTGGGGTAGGTTTTCTCTGTGTACTTCGGTTTCCCCTGCCAGTCTTCATTCCACCAAATTCTCCATCATCATAATCACCTGGGGCAGGCTACAGTAGGCCAATCAGTGGCTGCCATGCCGAGTGGACCCAACTGGACTCCACCCCCCCCCCCATGTGGAAATGCGAATCACCATTTGCAATCATCCACCAATTTTTTATTTACTGCCAAATTACATATGAAATAAACTATGACCAGAAGGCCATGCCATAGCTCAAGTGGTTAGTCGCTGGCTTCCCACCGTGGCGGCCCGTGTTCGATCCCAGGTCTGGTCAAGTGGGATTTGTGGTGAACAAAGTGGCGCTGGGGCAAGTTTTCTCCTGAGTACTTCAGTTTCCCCTGCCAACCTCCATTCCACCAATTGCTCCACAATCACCCTCACCTGTCATCTGGGGCTGCAAGGGCAGAAAAATTCCCATGTTGTAGATTTACGGCACGTAAAAGAACCTCATGTCTTCAGGAGACCTCTGAGCTAAATTACAGGCCCTTTCCCGCCCAAGTAGTCTCCAGTGCCTCTGGTGGATGGGAGAAGCATCAAGGTACCGGGGGCTGACTTTGTTGGCTCTACGGGGGCTGATGGCACACACCGTTACCGGTAGGGTATAGCGACAGTAGAAATTAAAAAGGGGACACACAGTGGACCAATAACTGGTCTAAGTGAAGTGCATGGGGAAACCCACCCCCTTCCATAATACACACATACATCATCTGGGGCTGGTACAATAGGCCAGAAGTGGCCTCAGTACAAGGGACTTGGTCCCACCCCACTAGGCAATAAAAAAAAACTTTGGCCAAACTTCTCTATTTAATGTGTTACATATATTACTCAGATACCCTTTTTAATAGATGAGATAATAAGAAAATGTATTTGTTTTGTTTAATGGTATCCAAACAGTTAGTTGTATATTTTATCAATCATAGAATTTCAAATGTTTTTGTAGCATTATATTCCATGTATATCCTTTGGTGTATTTTTTTTTTTTTTTTTGCAGACGTGTACACAGCTTTGCAAGAATTAGATCATCTTTCATCTCGCAAACCATCAATTCTGGACACATTTTGTGAGCCCATATCGGAGTTGTTACTCTCACCTACCAGTAATATACGTACTCTGGCTCATGTACTGTTGGCAAGACATCTGCGACATAACCCAGCAGCTGCCACAGTTGGCACAAGTTTGGCTGCTTTCCTGCGTTGTCTAGAGAGTGACCAGGCTGATGTGCTGAACACTGCGTTAGAGAGACTCCCAGAAATTGTACTGTGTGCTCAAGGTAAAGTCATTTCTTTCACTAGAGATCTTTCTCAACAAGGGGTTGCATTTATTGTTAGTGTTTATTCAGTTCATTTTAAATTGTCTGATGGATGCAGAGAATAATTTCTTTGCTTCAAAAGCTGAACAAAATATTGTTTGAAATTTTTTGAACTTGTACCCCAGTAAATTAGGTTTCGTATTTAATTTCAAAATTTTGATCAGCTCTGCAAATCAGGAAAAGGAAAAATGCTGAACTATAGAAACATTAAAAAACTTAAGATCCTACTTTTTTCTATAGTGTGAACTTTCTCAGCAGAGTGTTGATAGTCTAGTCAAACAAATGTGAAAATAATGTGACTGAAGATTGCAAAATAACAGAGTTATATATTTAAAGGTTGGTACTGTAACCATGCCATTCTTCTGGCAACTCTTACTATGACAACATATGACTTTTACTATTTGCAGATCAGGAATCCTATATGTTAAATTATATGTAATTGCTAATCAACTCTCTAATTTCTGTTTGAATCATTGGTTAGGAAGAAACCTTTCCTGCCCTTATTGATAGTGGAACAGTTCACAGAAATTTTCTGAACAGTACATTTTTAACGTTTATTTCAGCAGTTAATGTGATGTTAATTTTCTTTTTGTTTTACAGAACATGCTTTACCACTGCTACAGAAGGTTTTCAACTTGGGAATGTGTTCAAATGTCAATACTGTTCCACACATCAGCAAAACCATTGCATTGCTCAATGTTCAGACTGGATGTTAGAAGACTGAACTCTAGGATAATGGATTCTGTTCAGTCTGTTGCACAGTTTAATTAAATTTTAACCATTTTAATTTTAGATAACTATGTATTTTAAATCAAAATATATTTAATATTGTTTATTTATATTTTAATGATGAGAGAACTTATTATTAAAGCGTTCCTACACTAATATTTTGCCCATTCCTTATTTTGCCTACAATTCAATGATTTCAGGACCTGCTGAGAACCTTGAACAGTTCCTGATCATGTATGTGGAGGTGTTCTCTTGTTAGTGCTAAATCTCACTCTGCTGTTTGAATCACAGTGTAATATGCCGAAAAGGTGTTGCTGTATATGCTGATCATGAGACAGGTGAATTACTCACTTTTGCTTTTGATGAATGTACATCATATTTGCTTCAATGTCTTGGTCCTTATCCATTGTCTAGGTTTATTATTAAAATGCCACATTCCAGATGTTTCATGTTCCCCTCAGATTAGGTTCCCCCTTGCCACAAGACAGAAACACAAACATACTCTGAAATGTATTGTTTTATAAATGAGGTTACATAGTTACATTGTTGTTAAACCAAGGTGAACTCATTGAACAGCCAACAAAGATGTCCTACTGTCTAATTATTTGTAGAACTCTGATGGAAAAATTCACTTGGAAGAATGAGAAGGAAATGGAAGACTTGATATTATAGAATGTGTGGATATGAATTGGATTGAACTGCCTCAAGATCATTTCCAAGGACAGGTTTTAATATTATTAATGTTGAGCTTCCAGATTCTGTTACAGGAGAATTAGTTACCTAGTCAGGCATTCTTTGTGCAAAGTGAAAAGTAACACACTTTATGGGTAAGTCAGGACTGTCCTTCCATTTGTGACTGTTTATTCTGTTATTTTTAAATGCTGTATTGACTCTGACAGTTACCTGGCATGGAATGAGACATGAGAACAGTTACAAATTGAGGGAAGTAGTCTTGGTTTAGTTTGATGTGCTATCCTCTCATTCACAAGAAGAACTTTGGGAAAATCTTGAAAAAATCCTTCAGGATAAGTACCTGGCCGAGATCTTAAGTTTGTATCATCTAAAAGCACATCAGACATGAATATGACACAGTATCAGTGTCATTAGTAATGACTGGATTTCTATGAGACTTTATGTTGCTCTGACTAAAATAAAATTTTAAAATGGAATCGCTTGGTTTGCTTGTGGGTTATCTGATGGTATTCTGTCAGCTGCAGAAGCTTTTGTGTAGAACTAGATAGATATTTTTATGTCATTCTTCAGCTCTGAAAATTATGTACAATGTAATAAAAATTATGTTACTTAGTTGTTGATTACTCCATTATTGTTCTATAATTTCCAGTTATATCCTGTCCTTAATTTGCCGTAAAAGTATACCTTCTCTTTTAACTTTATTCCTTCTGGTCTGTCACACCAGTTAAATATTATAGAAGGTTTTGACAATGCCGTCCAGTGTGTTGTGCATGGCAGAGAAGCGGAATTCATGTAGGGTGTTGAAGAAAAGTCCAGAAGGAAGGAGACCACTAGGTAGAACTAGATGTAGGTGAGAAGTTAATATTATGAAAATCTTGGAGAAACGGGATGTGATGGTATGGACTGAACATGAGAACGGAAGCAGAGGACATTGGTGAGATCCATAACCAGGCAACGACTGGTGACTCAACAGACAGAAGATTTAGTATGTGCTGTAGTGAACTGCAGAGTGTACGAATTAGCAATAGAGCTATAGTTTACAATGTGTAAGTGTTCAATAAATTCCATTACCAATCCAAACCCTGTCTGTAGTCACTCATACACATGACTATATTTAAAAGAAATTATATTATTATATATTCCATATATGGGCTGTAGTTGTGTTTGCAAAGTGCCTCTGAAATTATTAAGGAATATTGAGCACTCAAATACTTGTATCACAACACGAGCTGGAAATTATGGAAGGAGTAAACCACAAATATGTACATTGGCTGCATAGAACTTTATAAAGTGATGGAAGTGATCAATTTGAAGTTGGAGGATTAGAATAGTCAATAATTATACAATATGTGGAGGAGTTATGAGAATGAGAAAACCGCACAACATGTTTGCTATTCTGTTTCATGCTTATTATGTTAAAGCTACACAGTCTGATGACTATGTACACAACCATAGCCATGTTTAGATTTGTGGAGACAAATATCAGTGTGTAAAACACTGAGGTGCTAACTCTCTGGCCTCTGTTTCTACTGTCTGTGTACAAAATATGAATTCATGCTTTACTAAATGTAACTAAAATTTGATGGTTCAGATTTGCATTGAAGAATATTATTTTCTGCAATGTGATACCATGTACTCCAGGAAAAGTTCTGGGATGTTTTGGAAGAATGTAATGTCTCCATCTTCACATAAAAGTACAAGCCAAGCCATTAGAAGGATGTAGCAGTAAGCAGCATAAGCCATGTGTAGAGAAAAGGAGTCCAGAGAGAACCAATAGGAACAAGGATGAAACCAACTACCTGACTTACTCTTTGAATCTGATGATGGAGGCAGTATGTTCCACAGAAATATTGGTGAAATTTTACTGAACTGCATGACATCCCATACCAGAAGACAGTACACTTCACAGTCACTGCCATGAGAAGTTCATTTTTAACAAATTTACGCTGTCCCATACAATTGAGGAAGGATCTGTAGTACCAGATTTCACCAAAATTTAGAAATATCACACACAACACAAACAGCACAGCGAAACATCGTGCAATATTGTCAGATACACCTAAAGTAATTCACAAATCCCTCAGTATGGAACATCCCTCACTTAGAAGCTATAGTGTAATGGTGAAAGGTAAATTTATTTCTGAAGACGTATGGTGGAATGGAGGTATAGTTCTACCTTGGCATTAGATGGAGGTGAGTAGTCACCTGTATGCCCTTGCTGCTCTTTGCGTAGGGAAGCAGCACCAGGTACTCAGGAGAAAGGGTGGGGCGCAGAGCCGGTCTGGACCATATGAAGAATAGAAAAATCTCTCGTCCCTGTCGGGAATCGAACGCCAATTTATCAGTTGTCCTGCTCGTACTCTAGTCACTATACCGACTGAGCTATCTCTGTTGTAAAAGTACAGTGGGAAGTAGAATGTTGGTACCGACTGAACAATCGGTTAGTTGTGGTACTGAATATGGATGTTACACATAGATGGGAGCGATGGGAGTGAGTCAACGTATTTAAACATTGAATATTGATAGGAAAGTCCGATCAGTGCAGTGCGATGGTGCGATAGAGATACTTGCGCGCGTTAACAAGGTTAACAAGTAATTGCAATAGTTATTTAAGTAATGCGCAGTTAAGAGGTTAAGAGGGTTAAGAGAAAGGTGGAGGTTGCTTTTAAAGCTTGTGTAATCAGTAGGATGTTGTCGGAGATGTTTGATTTAATGACTTTTATGTGAATGTTTCTGCCGGTTTTGTATGTAAGTGTCTTGACACGTTAGACATGGAGAAATATCGGTACAAAAGGCCGCCGAATTCGGTTTTGAAGAGGGTAAACCCACTCTTCCATACCCAAGATAAAGATGCTGATTCAAAGGAGCTGCCTTGTCATCTAATAAAGTTGGCACGGAAAACTGGTCAATTAAATCTAAGTGGTAGAGGACTTGCTTCAGGTATGCCAGTTTTAATGTGGTACTTACGTTTTTTTTTTGCTCTTTGCTTCCTCCGAAACGTCGGTTAATTTGCGGTGGACTATTTGGCTCTATAGAACTCATAATAACCATCGCCGTGACAATCTCAAACCCCACAATTTAATGTTTATTTATAAACAGCAGTGGGAATCCAGTATAGTTTAAGTTAAGCATGCTCGTTTATTAAGGGGCACGCCGTAGAGTAGTTGGTGGCACTATGCTACAAGCCGGAAGGTCCTGGGATTCAATCCCGATGAGATCATTGAATTTTTTTCAATTTACCAAATTCTTCCAGCCGCACTTTGGCCCTGCGGTCGACTTAGCCTCTAACAGAAGTGAGTACCAGGAATATTCTTGAAATGTTCTTGGGGGTAAAGGGCGGCCGGCGTGTAAGACTGACAACCTTACCGCCATCTATGAGCCGATTGTGTAGAAAATGTGGGAACCTCAATATCTCACAACCCTATGGGCCTTCATGGCCTGTTACAAGGATACCTTTACTTTACTTTATGCTCGTTTATTGTGCCCTAAATTACGAAGTGAAATTTCATCGCATGCACTAGTGTTATGTGAGCAGAGTATGTTAGATGAAATTGCCGTATCCGTTTTTAGACCTGGCCTTTTGTCGCGGAATTTGAAGGGATTTTGCTTAAGCCCATTAACTGAGATAAGGGCTGTATGGTATGAATGTGTTGTAGCAGGGGCTCAGTTGTAGTGTGTGATGCACCCTCCCACAGTGTAGCTGCTAACACTGCCCCACTCTTACATCATCTTACCTCTCTGTTCTCATCATATGCAACCCAGAGGCAGGACCTTAAACATTGCCTGTACTTTCTTTCATTTATATTTATCATTATATTATAGTTGTACTGTGTAAATGAATATCAGGGTCAAGTGGGTACCC